AATCAAACAACCGATACATCCAGCATCTTCACAAACAATCAGTCGATGGCTAAAAGAAGTAATGAAATTAAGTGGCGTCGATATATCAATTTTTACAGGTTACAGTACTCGACATGCATCTTCTTCGGCCGCGGCACGAGCCAGCATTAACATTGAAGTTATACGAAAAGCTGCCGGCTGGTCAGAAAAATCGAGTACCTATGTTTAATACATTTTACAACAGGACTGTTACTCAAAATTATGGAGACCTAGTTCTTAAGGGTTACAAAAAATAACTAGTTTCGTTAAATGTTTTTTTTTGTATTTGAATTTAGTAAAATTCAATTGTTATATTAATAAATTTATATATAAATACATATACAACATGCATATAACATGAAAATATTTTTTCAATTATTAAAATAATTTTTTCTCTTTTGTAAATATTTAGTTTTTACTAAAAATTAATCATTCTTTTCTAAATGATTACGATCGCTGTCGATCTCTAAACATCTACATATTACGGATATATTGGGGCCCAGCAGTGAAGTACAATTAATGGATTAAACGACTTACCTGAAAGGAAGTTCAATCCAAATTGTACGAACTGCTGGGCCCCAATATATCCACTTCCCTCCCCTCCTGGGAAAAAGGATTTTATAACCAACCCCTAAAGAAATCAGCGATCTAGGACCACAACAAAATAATGAGGTATATCGGGTCGTCGACGATAAGAATGGAATGTGGCAGAGGCGTACCCAAATAATTTTAGTATCTTTAAAAATGTTGTGAAATAATCGTACACTTCGATCAATCGAGAGTATACTACATATTACGGATATATTGGGGCCCAGCAGTTCGTACAATTTGGATTGAACTTCCTTTCAGGTAAGTCGTTTAATCCATTAATTATAGTGCACTGTGTTAGGTAAGTTATTACATTTCCTTTTACTGTTTATGAATGTCCAAAAATATTTGGATTACTGTATAAAGAGTGGTTGACCTGTCTGATATAGTCATTGTAACATGTTCTAGAAAGATTTTTACAAGCTGCTCTCAATTCCGAAAAATATCTGTAGTCTTCTATATTATGAGTTGTCATGTATTGTTTATTAGCCGATTTTTTTGTTTCACGAGATATCTAAGTTCCGCATTGAACCATTTAGGGAAATTGGACGAAACAAATCTTTTTAATGGGACAAAAAGTGCAATACCCATGTTTACGATATGATAGAACTCATTCGAGGCAATATTTATATCATTATAACACAGTACATTCTTCCAATCAATAGCTGCGAGGTAATTGTTAAGATCAAAGTAATTGGTATTATAGAAGTCATGGTAGAATTCTGTATATTTCAGATGATTTAAATGGCCTGTATTAAAAGTTACTGAGTAACTTACATGGTGGATACTACTATCAAATAATGGATCAGTTGATAAAACTACTTCTAAATCAATCAAATTTGTAAAAAGTAAATCTAATAGTACATTTATATTATTAGGTATAGTTTTTTTTTAAATAGATTTAAAAATGAAAAATGTTGAGCCAATAATAAAGAATGATTCTTGTATGGAATTTGATAATATTCCTCCTGAACTGATAAATTATGCAAATAATTTAAATAAAAACTTGCCTAACTTAAGTTAGATTGAATATTTCATTTTGTTAAAAGTTTCATTTTACTATATTCAACTTCTACTGTATCTGTGGCTATCGAGAAAGTAGTCTGTTACTATGTTGGAATGAAAATCCGATACTCGTATCGAATTTTCATTCCAACCTAGTTATTACAGAATTTACTATTAGTGTACATACCTAAAACTACTTTTGTACGACTTTCTAACTATTTTGAAAAAAAAAAAAAAAAAAAAAAAAAAAAAAAAAAAAAAAAAAAAAAAAAACACTCCCAATCTTTTATGTTAAAATCAATGACGGAATGGTTAGTTTTTAAATAGTTGTTTGATACTCCCCAAAGTATCGATAGGCTGTGTATCAATATGACATGGTATATTTATTGAAAGTATTGATACTACAAGTAGGTAAGGATACAAAATATCGATTGAAATAAATAGGTATGTTTTGTTATTTTTTCTCATTTTATAAAATGAAAATTATAAGTTTTAATACATCTTAACACTTTCACTGTCACCCTATCTAAGCCTGCCCATGTGTGGTGCCCACCGTACTTTAGTTTTTGGATGAAAATAGGTTTACTTTTATAGAATTTGGTAAACTGCTAAAAACAAGACGCGGGAGAAGCATTGAGGGCACCCAGCTATAAAAAATGCCATGATGATTTATAATATATCTGATAATATAAATAAATAAAAAAAAAATAATCTGGATTCTGGATGTCATGTCAACAGAAATTAAATTTCTGCTAATATGGCATTCATCAAATCCTATAATGAAATATAATAATGAAAAACTGAACTAAAAAAGATTATTTGGTAACAAAATTTCCATCTAAAACTCTTTTAGGTAAATTCAACTAATATTTTACTAACACGCACTTTTTACAACCTATTTCAGTCTTATCGAGTGTTCAACACAAATATATTATTAGATAAATAGCTAATTTGCTAATATCACAATATACAAATTTATTAAAATATATATAATATACAAGTCAAAACATAGATAATACAAGTACAATCAAAACTAACTAACCCTGCTACTATTTCTGGAGAAATATTCATTAATTAAATAATCTGTGACCTGGATTTTAAATATAGTTTTCTCTGAGAGTGCATTATAGAGGTCTAGACTTTTAAAAAATAGTAAATTTTGTGTTGCACTTTTAATAACAGTTTCAATATAAAAGTTATTTCTGTTCCGCGTTGGATAACTGTGCACATCAGAGTGATAAAATAAGCTTCTCTGTTAGGTACATCGGAAGTAACCCATGTTTAAATTTATAAATAAAAATTAATGTAAGGATAATTTCCTGACCATAGCAGAATTTTGTATAAATAAAAATTTCCTAGGTTTATTCGGTCATGTTTTTATTTTAGCACAGCACTACATATGTTTCGGAAACATATGTACTTAAATCTAGGAAATTTTTATTTATATAAAAAATTAATGTATTCCTTGACAAAAGACGTTTGATTGGCATCCAATTCAAAGTTTCAATCATTAGATTAATGGGAGTATATTTTGAGCAAGATAATATTCGCATTGCCCTATTCTGCAGTCAGTTGAACTCATTTTGATTTAGAAAAAAGAGTATTGTAGAACAATAGTTAAAGTGAGGAAGAATGATAGTGTTTATAATACAAAATCAAATCCAATATTTCTCAAACGTGGTAGCCATCTTGAGGGAAAATGTATTTGACTTAGACAAACGCAGGTGCCACGTTGTGGGCAGTGAAAGTGTTATTTTATTGTAATAAAATACTATACCTACCCTGAGAGGATTAAGTCTTGTCCCCTTGTCAACTAGTTTATTTTAGAGAATAGAAAAACGATTGAGCACATCAATATTTTGGTATATCGCGCATAGTGTCATGGCGGCGCTGACGTCATGCGTAGAGTTGGCGCCAAGTAAATATCATATGACAGACGCACGTTGCAGTGATTTGTAAGTTATTAATAGTGATTTATAACATTTTAAGCGAATATCTGTATTATATTATATTGCAAACAGTGTTCTTTGTGAGTGGTATTAGTGATAAACATTAAAAAATGAGGTACGCAATTTACGGATGTAACTGATAACAATAAAAGCAAAGGAGTTGACAAAGACGTTGTTTTTCACATTCCTCGACAGTAAGAGGTTAGTCAGAAATGGCCAAAGGGCGGCTCTAGTTGTAGGTCCCAGGGAGCCTTGCCTCTTTCTTAATTAACATTTTTACATTCCATAAGGCTTTTACTAAAAAGGGAAATGTTATAGGCAATGCTACCCACTCCCAATCGAAAATTTGACGAAGACGCCCATGCAGTGGCCTTGCAGATAAATTTAAAACAGAAAATTGTCATGTGCTCCAAGCACTTTTAACCTTTTAATTATAAGATGGACCTCAAAGCAAACCTTCACGTTAGTTCATTCGCAACTCAGGACTTTTTAACTGGGGACTCTATTCTTTTGAAAGCTGAAAATTTCACAATATATAGCAAAGGTGAAATTATTTATGTCACAAAAAATAAAATTTCGGCATGTTGTATTTGATGAAAGAATTAAAAAACTATCAGTGACTAGGTCCAGGAAAAATGCAGTGACATTTTATTTTAATTTGGTATATACACCCACCATGTAGCAGTTATTTGTATTTGGTACATTTATTTTTATGCTTTGCATTATATTATATGTATGAAAAATATTTTTTAAAAACCTGTTTTTGTTATCGTACTTATACATAAATTCCATCTTATTCATAAAATAACTTGTTAAGTATATTCAATTAGGTAATATATTGTAGATAAATGAGTCATCAGTTGCGAATCCTGATCAGTTAAATAGTCCCAAGATACGAAATTTTAACCCAGGGTTCCCAGTTGAGATATTCCGAGTTGCGAAGATACCCTTCTCATTATCCTGGTTATAGAAAATATTCTTTAGACGTCGAATGTTCTTCTAAATTAAAACTTGCTTTATAATTTATATAAAAAATAAATCATTAAGAAGAAAAAAACTGATACTTCAAATAAATATTTCTTTCATGTAAGCATTTGCGTTTATTTTCCTTTATATATTTGATGTGATTTTTAAAATATTATCGTTTAATAATTATGAAATTTCTGTAAATAGCATTTAGTTTTCTCATACTTCCACAGTATTTTTAAATTCCCGCCTATACAAACTCTACGCATGACGTCATTCGTGTGGTCATCCTATTTTTGACACAGTTGATATCCTACCTTCTATTTTTTTATACCATGCTATGAACCCTATTTAGGTAACAACTTCCATATATTTTTTTTAATAGCAATAGAGATCATATGATAATTTATTAAAAAGATAATTATTGTGAATTTAGCAAGACGACTGTTTAATGTATCAATAAAGTACACTTACATTTTAAATTCTGGAAATTGCTTATATCTTTCAAACTCTTCGACCCATTGTAC